CCGGGTCTCCGAAACTAGGTTTTCGTTGAAATTCAAATGCCTATGAATGGACACGTTTAAGAAGGGGGTCTCCGCGAACTGCGGGGGGGGGACAGTGAATTTGCTTTAAAAATCTATGCCTGTTAGCACTTGAAACCGAATTAATGTTGTATTATGTAGAGGAGAAAAAACCCATGACCCGAAGAGAGAATGAACGCACGCACACTCATCACACACACACACACACACACACACACACACACACACACACACACACACACAACACACGCACGCACGCACACATGCATACACGACACACACGTTGCATGAATGTCTTGACGACCCGGCTTCAACGTATTCTGAAGTACGATGCACTGGAACGGAAATATTAAAAACTATAGGGTCTCCGGAACGGCAAAATTGTAAGATCTGCATGGTAACTAAACTTAATGCTCTGGAACGAGATATTCTTAGAAATGCGATGCACAGGAACGGAAGTTTAGGGTTAGGGTTGAAAATGGGGGTCTCTCCCGCGGCACATACCCGACCCAGCACGATCCAGTTAAGGCTCAACAATGCAATGGTCATGCATGTGCACCGAGACATGTTAGACAAGGTAGATGAACAGGATGTAATTTCAGAATTTGTAAGTTGCCATCCAGGCAGAAAAGATAAAATTGGAATAATAAAAAAATAAAATGACAAGTTATCTGACTGGACTGTCTGGTATTACTATTAATACTGATCAATTAGAGGTGTTATATTAGTGCTATCTATTGAGTGTGTCTATTCAAATTCAAACTTATTCTTCATAATTATGTATACTGATAGTATATACAATTTTGTAAATAATGTTTTATTAGTTATCATACTCATAATACATATTTTAGATACATTAGATAAAACATCAGCTTTAGCTACATTCCTCTTTGAAATTTACAAATTGACCTTTTAAAATGATCAGAATTAATTGGTTGCTTTCAACATAGCCTGAAAATGCAGGAAATGCCATTTCCAGGCTCTACATTTCAAAAAAAATTTGGGGGGGGAGCACCCCCAGACCCCCGCATCGGCTACATATATTTCTGCAGTGACACTTTTTTGGAGGCCACTATGACCCTATGAACTCACGGCGCTGTGAATCCTACATAAACAATTAAGCTTTCTTACTCAGTTGATCGCCTACATAAACAGAGCATGCTTCGTATTTTACCTTCGACTTTCGAATTCTTATTTATTTTCTAAGAAATTAAAACATACTGGAACCACGGATCATGTGGATCCACTTTGCTAACTGGAATAAACCGGTTTTGGTATTTTAGATGTTATTATGCGGAATGCACTCTTGACAGCCTACCCGCGGGTAGGTGCAAACGTGCATGGCGCTGCAATTTCACGGAGTGGTTAGTCTAGGGTGACCGAAAATCCTTATAGCGAGTGAACAAATGGCAGATTGTATTCGTCTGCGAAACATTTCGTGGATATATTCGCCTGTAATGCTACGAACTGTGGCTTACAAGCTTAGCCTACCGTCAGTCAACACGGCGTCATTGGTTGAGAAAAGGGAGGAATGATATTAAACATTAGAATTGTGTGATTATTAGACATTACTAAATATGCTAAACTATTAACAGCTATATCGGGTTTACATAGTGCTACGGAGTACTCAATTTCGCAGTTCGATATTTATTATTAATATTTTTGTGTTTTAAGATTGTGTTTGCTAACACTGAATTAATTCTGTATAATAATAACACATTATTATATTCCATTATTAATCACAGCTCAGTAGTGTGACATCGTGCATGGATGGTGTAATAACTTGTGCTGCCTTTCGCGGTGGAGACATCAGAGTTTTCAATTTCATTCACGTGTATCTTAGATCGGGGGTTGGTAACAAAAGTGATATTATATTTATCTATCATCATCATTTACCTGTAAAAATTGCCATTTTGTGTAGTTATATCCTTAACTCAGTTGAAACTAGCTGTAAAATTTTAATTGCCACAATCATTCTCGAATCGAATAAAACGTTGCTGACCCTTCGCGTGTATTATTATGGCATCATAAGTGCCTGCGCAATCGGTGTTGTAAACAAATAATCATCGACAGCTTTTAAAATTACTCTTCTTTTTTATTATTTTTGACGAAATTGTTCGAGGAGCACAATTTAGAGATCATTTAACCGTAGATAAGTCGTAAACGTAGGTAAAAGTAAATCGGAGAAATCACACTCTGATAGTATCCTAAAAGACGTGGTCGACTCTCATACTTGCTTCACAACTGCAGCGGCTGTGTTTGTGAACATCTGCACTAGCTATATAGGTTGCGCCAGCAATCATCTCTAAAAACGACCAGACCCCCTCCACCTCAAAGCTGTAGCGCATATATTTGCTGCATTGCACGTTTTCTATCATGCTACCCGCTGGCCTTGGCATGATGCTACGCTTGGACGTGGCACCATATAGTTAGTAGAGACAGTCTCCCTCTACTAACCATGGTGGCACCCGGACCCAGCTAGCACAGCTGCGCGGTAAATATAATAGGGGCGTCTGGAGGGGATTTAGATCCACCACGTGACCAGTGGTGATTTTCGAAACGATAATCTGACATGGCATGCGCACAGCGGCAAAATTCTCAGCCAGGTTTCTGTACTTCCGTTGCTCGCTTCGCCTCATCCTATTGTGACGTACGTCCTATAGATACGCCAAACATATAATGCGCGCCATCTTGCATTTCTGCAAGTATTTCTTGGCCACTCGCTTATTATGCTGCACGTTGCGAGTAGCAGGTGTGACCATAGCAGATGTAGTGAATTTTTCTATATGACATGCAATAAATAATCTAGTGATACTGCCGTGGGCGCATATATCGCATATTTTAGCCCTCGCATCTTGAAACATACTAACCATAAATTCGCATAAACTAACCACGTTTTCAACATTAGGCCTACACCTTGTTTGTGTCTACACAGTGCTCCATGAGTGGATGACATTGCATAGGATCAACTAGTCCGAGCCGACGCAGACCCCAGTAATGGGGGGTGCTGCCCGGTAGATAAACCTGCACCCTCAGATTAGCAAAGCGGAGTTATAACGTCTGCATTTGCGGACAAATTTGATCAACCTGCTATACCTAGGCTACGGTGATTTGGAAACCCGACACAATATTCTAGAATAATATTCGGACTGTATCGCCTAAACGCACTCGCGGGTGATCTGTTATGTTCATAATTACTCAGGTTACATAAATATATATGATCGTTAATTGATGGCCTGATGCCAGTCGATGGCAAGTACCTAACAGTGAGAACCACGGAGATGGTATATCATGTCAGAACTACCTTGGACGCAGAAAACGCGTACGTGGTACCATTAAGTAATTAATAAATGTAGGAGGGTTTTTAATTGTTGTTAGTGGCACATTGTGGTGAGTTTTAGTACCGACGCACGGTTATTAATAACTCTACTCCTTCTGTTACCGATCATGATGATCACACTGACCCTGCACAGGTCTGCATTCTGTCTACGACACTTGCCTAGACGCTGGAATTAGAATGTATTGTCGCATTATTTTCCTGGTTGGTATATCTACGATCGGAGGAATACCGTAACTAGCGCTTTGTACGGGATTATTATTAGCACTCGGTGATCGGTCTAATTCGACGCGGTCGAGTACGTGTTCGTCATAACCATATCCGTCCAAGAACGCACGTGCGGTTTTACCATCATACGTGACCTGCAAGTGGACTGATTCCGCGGGTCTCTGTTGGCGTCTATCGTTGTGACGAAGCCACGTGAACGTTTGCAGTCAATCTGACATGTAAGCTTACATCGAATCATGACGTTACCACTTACACAACGCAGCTGTAGGCTTCATTTCAAAGGACACCATATAGTCAGCCACAATGGCGTACGAGTTACTTCTTAGCCATCTCGAACACTTATCGTAGATGCCTTTTTAGCGGACGATCACATATCGTACTCTCCACAGATAATGCCGTAGTTGATGATCAGATATCATACTCGCGACAAATAATGCCATAGCTAATAATCAGATATCATACTCACAATACATATAATAACCATAGCTGAAGATCAGATATCTTACTCACCACAGATAATTCCGTAGGTGATGATCAGATGCCATATCTGCGTGGCGAACACGCTGAGCAGACAGCCGCTGGCAGCGAGGAGGCCGCCAATGATGATGACGACGCGATAGCTGAAGAAACCCGTTAGCAGGTTCGTGAGCGGTCCTGCAACAATGATCATCACACACAATATAACAATACTCTACATCAGATTATTATTATTATTATTATTAGAATTAATTTTTTTTTTTTTTTTTTTTTTTTTTTTTTTTTTTTTTTTTTTTTTTTTTTTTTTTTTTTTTTTTTTTTTAATTATTTTTATTAGATATTATTATTATTATTATTATTATCATTATTATTATCAGTAGTAGTAGTAGTAGTAGTAGTAGTAGTAGTAGTTAGTAGTTAGTAGTTAGTAGTTAGTAGTTAGTAGTAGTAGTAGTTAGTAGTTATAGTAGTTAGTAGTTAGTAGTTAGTAATTAGTAGTAGTAGTAGGAGTAGTAGTAGTAGCAGGAGTAAGATAATATAGGATATATATTATAGAATCCCTATATTATCTTACTCCCTGGTAGTAGTAGTAGTAGTAGTAGTAGTAGTAGTAGTAGTAGTAGTAGTAGTAGTAGTAGTAGTAGTAGTAATAGTAGTATATAGTAGTAGTAGTAGTAGGAGGAGGAGCTAGTAGTAGTAGTAGTAGTAGTTGTAATAGTAGCAGTAGTAGCAGCAGCAGCAGCAGCAGTAGTAGCAGCCGTAGTGGTAGTATTGTTATTGTTATTGTTATTGTTATTGTTATTGTTATTGTTATTGTTATTGTTATTATTATGATTATATTATTATTATTATTATTATTATTATTATTATTATTATTATTATTATATTATTATTATTATTATATTATTATTATTATTTCTTCTTCTTCTTTTTCTTCTTTCTATTTTTCTTCTATTTATTATTATTATGAATTTATTGACGGTACGTTGGTACATGTGAGAATATAAACCGGCCCTTGCAAGCTCACAGTCATTGTATACCGATGACTAGGCGTTATCATAAATGCATTAGATTTACATGGGCATTTTCATCATGCATGGGCTGGGAAAACGCGTCATGTATACACGCGTAACGCTGGCCAGCTCATGAACCTTTAATCGCACCGCAGTGTCTGTACGGCAAGATCCAACCCAGCCACTTACCTCTGACTCATGCCTTACAATCCGAATAGTTGAACCTCGCCGTCATTATGGTTATATAGCGACGGTGAATACACCACGCAGGCTTCACCATACGTGCTCATTCATGAGCTATGCGATCGATTGCAATCATCAACCTATATACCTGAGTTTGAACGTACAATCACGGGCCTGTTGCCACGCGACTGTAGCGAGCAAGTCCTGTGGCGAAAGGCTATTTGGTAGGTACGGTAAAGATATGTAGTAGTTATTCCTGTGGCCATAATATGCCCGGCCTTTTACCCACACTTGTAGTTACATATACCAAATTTCGCGTTTTGTGCGGCGCAGATTTTATATTAAAAAATGTTTCCTAAAAATCACCCTATATCCAAAATGCTGAAGATCGATGTAGCAGACAGTATCACAATTGTAACATGATTGAGCTTTTATCCTTTATTTCTTTTATGAATGTATGTTATACGTCTCAGTGGAATTTTATACTAACTATAATGTTGACAGCGACGAGGGCTTGTGAAATATAGAGACAAAGGGGTAAAACGCAGCAGAAGGCGTGGAGAAAGTGGACCTAACTGATGCTGAGAGGGTCTATGTCTACCGGTATACCGGAACGTACCCTGGTACTATCTAATATGCCGGACCCTACTCCAGTAACGAGTCTAGGGAGTCGTCTACGCCTAATCCCTAACCCGAACCCTAACCCCAACACTAACCCTAACCCTAACCCTAACCCTAATCCTAATCCTAATCCTAACCCTAACCATATCAAATAGTGACCAGGGAACGTTCCGGCAGTACCCTGGGGGACATAGACCCTATGAGCCAAACTGATGGTGAGCAGATACCAGGCGGGAGAGCGATTATGCTGTCAAACCTGTTTTCAGATTATAACATTTGTTAAATTTTGGTGCGTCTAATGAATCGCGTTGTTTTATAAGCAGCGGAATACGTACGGTGCCTGTGCTAATAAATAAATCTACTCCTATACCTATACCTATGCTTATATACACACACACTTACACTCACACACACACACACACACACACACACACACACACACACACACACACACACACGCACGCACGCACGCACGCGCGCACGCACGCACGCACGAACAGCAAAATATACGCACAGCGAAATATATATATAAAAAAAAAATATATATATATATATAACAATGTATACATCTATACCTGAGCTGAACACAAGCAGTGTGTTGATGGAGCCGACCCAGGCAGTCTCGGCCATGCTATGCTTGAAATGATGCAGCAGATGTCCGTAGTAGACTCCAAACGAGAACGACGTACCTAGGATGATCGCCCAGTTGATGAAAGCGGAGGCAAGAATCACCCACGCCCAGCCTCGGTCCCTGCCGTCGTATTGACACATCAGCTTTCCTGCGCGCGCCATGGCGTCACCTAGTTCTTCGTCGACCTATCGCTTGCAGACCGCCGACTGAGAAGAAGAAGGAACTCGATGTCAGTTGGAGTCCGGCGTTGTCTGAATGAGCAGAGATTGAGAGCGGAGGAAGAGAGGGAGTGGAAACAAAGTAAGAGAGAGAGACAACGAGAGGGAGAGTTAGGCAACGAGAGGAAGAGATAAATAACGAGAGGAGAATAAACAACGAGATTGTGCGAGAGAGAGGGAGTGAGAGATCGAAAGAGCGAGAGAGCGCGTGAGGGCGGAGAGAGGTGGGAGAAGAGAAAGTATGAAGCGGAAGAGGGATCTGGAGGAAGGGGAATGAGGAATGAAGGAACGGGAGCGAGAGAGAGAGAGAGAGCGCCCGCGAGAGAGAGGGAGAGACGCCCGAAATTTGCGTCTAGCAACTCGCGTGAGCACGCATCGCTGTGCATATAGATATCAGCAGGAGTCTATCAATTGATTGAGTCAATCAATCAATTGAGACTATTGATAGACTCCTGATATCAGCAAGAGCTAATAATACCGAGGTATTATTATCTCTTGATATCAGTTCGGACGCCGACACGCGGCGTGAATAAAACACGAGTGTTGGCCCACTACTTCTAGTACAACGCACAGGACCGCTACACGTCAGCCCCTCGAACTCTTCCGGTGCTGTATAACGCAACCACGAGCTCGGTGCCCACCAGGCATGCACGTGGGAGCACCTACTCGAAATTTTTTCTCCGATCGCGCGGTTTTTTTTTTTTGCTATCGCTAAGTAGAAGGCACGGATCTAACCCCTGGATCTAGCTGCACGCAGAGGCAAAGCGCGAACTATAGTGTAGCGAAACGGGCGACGGTGAGTTATTGCTTGGGAGCTTGGGATATAACCCTATGAGACAGCGCATGTGAGCAGTTTTGCGTGTAAGAGAATTTCGTACCCATTTCGATTATACTGTCACAGACAAATTTCTGTTTTCACGCGCAATCGAAAAAGTAACATATATGTGTTATTTTTATTTAATACGGCGGCCCTATAGCCGGCCCAATTCATGGTATTTATATATTTTACAGAATATGGGCACTTTCTAGTATCTCTCTTGCTCGCTCTGAACTCTTTAGATTGACACTTCTCTCACGTTTGGCCTAGACGTTAGTTAAAGTTTTTTCTGCATATTAATGAAATATTCAGAATAACAAGTTTTAGAAAATATTTTCAATCATATTATCTCATTTCCGCGAACGCGGTCAGGGGCTAGTTGCCACTCCGTAACTATAGACTATCCACTTGACTCTCGTAACTATAGGATACGCTGTAGGAAATGTATGGTGTAGGACCACTAATGACTTTCACCGAAGCGCCCGACTCACACACCACCACGTTTCACGAGCCAGCTACACTAGTTACCGCTTGGCTCGCTTATATAGAGACTTTAGATATTTCACGCAAATATTTATTCAGAATTAGATGGGCTTGCGACACTATCTGCAATATTGATATAATATTACTATAAAAGCGGCATAATAATGCACGTATGCCGCGTCACGGGATATACCACCACTACGTGTGCTATATATACATACTACGTGTGCTACGTGTACATATACCACCACTACGTGTACTACCATACACGTGTTATACTAACCTTACTATCACGCAGAGTTATATGTGTCACATCTAGGTGCACGTGCGCTGCACCGCTTGCCATTATCAGTAGCGACAATTTCTGGGGCTCACTCGTCGTGTATATGCACATATAGTTATAGATTTCTGTTTCGCACTCACCGCATCGGGAATGGCCACTTTCTAACCACGAATAAACACGTCAACTTACCCCTGTGACTCTAGGCGACTAAACAACTCTTATTGCGGATTCATACTACAGGTCTACAGTTTCTTTTGCCTCGGGTAATAACAGGTTAACGTAAAAGGTACCAAAGCAACCCTCCCTCCGACCGCTACGTTGCTGCGCGCAGACAGCAATATACCACGATACAGCTCTCGTGTTTAAAAATGTAACGGCTACTGACCTGCATACTCAAGGTGCGTATCGTTTCAGCGCTAGCTAAAGAGCGGCGTATAAAAGGGTTCGTCGATTGAGTGTTGTTAAAAACACGGCGAGACGAAGAAAAAAAGATAATCCCTGCTAATCGAGCAAACCGATAAGAAATTTCCCGTCGTTCCTAACTGATGTTTGCAGCCGATGTTTCAGCGGCCATATTCTCTTGTTTTGTCCACGAATTCCCCATGTATATGTATGGCAGGCACTGCTGGCACTAGTAGAAGTATTACTAATCTTCGTGTTTTAGCACGCATGTTGTCTGCATTAACGCGTCGTGCCTGGAAAATTTAATAGCCTGAGCACATATGTAGTATGCTTTTAAAGCTACAGGACACCAGCATGTCACATTATTGCATGTAATTCTGTAATCGTGACGCGTTGATCGAACTCCTAGTTATTATTATTATTATTATTATTATTATTATTATTATTATTATTAGTACTATCATGATTATTACGATGACGATTATAACGATAATAAATAATCTAAAGAATTTAAAAAAAAAATTAAATATGTGAGCAATTTTAGTGTAAAAATACTGATTTTTTAGTTCAGTTCATCTCGTAACATATCCCCGGGCCAAGTTTCCCATCGCCACTTGTCTAGCTGCAGTCGACTCAATGATCAGGGGTAAAGCTGGGCTTACACTACCGACTTAATGTTGTCAAATTGGAGAGTAGGACCAACCTCCCATCTACACAACCGAAAATCGGCAGTGTTAACGCAAAAGTCGCGCGAGCAACTGGTCGATAGCCATTATAGTTGGGAGATTAGAACATGTTCTATTTGGCTAGTATGGCAACATCTTCCAGTTGAGGCGGCGCATGGTGGCAACCGTCGCTACTCGTCGTACGTCCATGTGCTAAATTTCATATATTGACTTTTCGCCTCCATTCTTATATTCCACCTTCCGACTTTTCCGACTTTCCGCCTTCCACGGTGTACGTTAGTACGTCTAGGACGTACACCGTGTATGACAATGCAAACGCAATGTCGGAAGAAATTAGAACATCCGTCCTGTGCATCCGATATCGCAAGGGTCATACATTTGCATTGTCATACACGGTGCGTTTTGGACGTAGGCCTACGTCTAGGACGTACGTCTAGGACGCATCGTGTAATAACCCGCATGCTTTGCTGTCAGTCGCAAATGCGTCATGCCCATGAGCCTGCTGCTACTCGTGCGTGAGTGCGTACGTGTGTTCGTGCGTGCGTGCGTACGCACGTGTGCGTGCGTATGTGCGTGCATGCGTGCGTGCGACCGTGACGTCGTGCGTGCGTGCGTGCGTGCGAACGTCTTTGATTGCGTTGAGGATTTAGTGTGTGTGTGTGCGTGCGCGCGCATGAGTGCACGCACACATGCACGCATAAATGTGTGTGTATGTGCGCGTGTATACGTGTGTGCGAGTGTGTGCTTACGTACGTACATGCGCGCATGATTTGGTGTACGTGCGTGCGTTCGTGCGTGCGGGTGAAATGAACTACTCTCACAGTAGAAACCGGAATGGCTCGTCCGGACGAGGTGAGAGGTAGGGGGTTGTTAAATCGTGCGTGTGTGTTTGTCTCTTCACACAGTGCGCGGTTGACGTGGCCTTGACGCCGATTCCGTACACACATGCGACGCGCTACGTCCACCCATCATCAAGAGTAGATAATAACACATTATTATGTTATTGTGTTATTATCTACTCTTGCCATCATGTAATACGATCAGAAGTACATAAATGAGAGAATGTCTAATTCATCTACTAATTCATCTCCAATACTTGTACTCCTGTTATAACGGCTATGGATAGATATTGATATCATTACGATCGAGGCAAATCTGAAAGTGAAACAACACCTGGGAATCAAGGCCGGATTGAGCTAGTGCGGGGCTTGTAGCATATGTTATAAAGGGGCCCTGAATATTAAAAAAAACATAAATGTTAAAACACGTAAATTTCTGTTAATCTAAATCTAATACTTTTGTAATAGATTTATTGACAAATAAACTATATCAGCACTCATTATAGGTAGCAGGTTTACGTGTATACTCAAAATATATATTCTTACGCAAAATTATTAGATAGCTCATCATATTACACAGCCCCTAAACCGCGGGACCCCTAAAACGGCGGGGCCTATAGCAAATGCTACTTTTGCTACTATTGCTGATGCTGGGTACGCGCACAATACACCCGATATGTGCCCGCGGTCTAGATGGTGATTAAGCACCCGATACTCACCTATCGCGCGGCTAGCAGCAGGCGATCAGACCGCAGCCCACGCATCTGCGTGCGTCTGCGTGCGTTTATTTACACGGTGTATCACCGCTGCGAATATATTCCGCAGTGTAACTCCTATATTTAGCTCCTTGCTGCGAATAATATAACAGAGTACGCCATCTCTGCCGATAGGGAGAGCTTCGATCGTGTTGCTGTGCAAGCGTGACGCCTGCACGCCCAAGCCTCGTCTCGTTACCCTGACTAGAACCAGTTCGTGTTTTCTGGTCGCCAGGCACTAAATATTTTATTACGCGTGCTACTTGTGTTGCGGAGAGTGCTTTAACACGACGCGTACTTGCCGGGTAGGGCGGTAGAGGTTTTCATTTCCCCGTCATAACGATAATATCTAAGACAACCTGTATGTCTGTCTATCTATCTATCAATCGATCGATCTCTCCTCCTTTCTCTCCCCCACTCTCTCTCGCTATATATACATATATACTTAAGCAACCAAGGTCACGACCAAGAGTCGAGTGTTCCAAAGAGCTATTGAGAGTCCTTGAGCATGCATTCAAAGGCGAGTTTGTCTGACGACGTCGGATATTTCCATAGCTGTACTCGGTGCAATATTTTAGATTATATATATAATCTAAAATATTGCACCGAGTAAGTACAGCTATGGAAATATCCCACGTCGTCAGACGAGCTCGCATTTGAATGCATGCTTAAGGACTCTCAATAGCTCTTTGGAACACTCGACTCTTGGTCGTGACCTTGGTTGCTTAAGTACCGCTAGTCTCAATTTAGCTGGTTCCTGATGCGCATGTGTTCCACGCTTTCCAGCCATCAGAATGTGAAAACCCTGGAAGCATGTTACACTCCCACAGGCGGGAAACGCCAAGCAGTATCCAGCCCGAATTAGATCATTCTATTTCCGATGCTACACCAAGCACGAACGACAGTACCAGATTCGATGACGTGAATATTGAGCACGATTTTTGATTAAATTGTTAAGTTAAAAACCTCTCATATTGCGATATAGCAATTAATTCATGTACGAATACTATATGATAGGCCTACAGTAAAGCCTGTTGGTGGCACAACACACTGTACCCGCGCGCGACACGTAGTTCCTTACCTAGCAGAGCATTTTTGATAAACATTACAATCATTGTTAAAATCTGTATTAAAAACAACAACATATAAATCTGACTAGAAGCGCTTTATAATATATACCAAACAGGCGGATGATGTATACAGCGCAACCGATCGATTGTGTATATTGATTCGTTAGCAAGCCACCGTAAATAATCCCACCTGTTACGCTAGCGAGTTATTATACAACAAGTCAGCTAAAATGCAATTAAGCCATACAAAGATGTCTATAGTGATGAAATTATTACGTCACAAAATTCCATTAATTTCTATGCTTATATATTAAGCTTTTATAGGTAATATATTGACGAGCTGACGTTATGGCGCTGCTATGTTATGATATAAGTTGGTTATTCCGCTATGAAACCACTTATGACAACCTTGTAAACAATAGAACGCCGCCCGTATGACAACAGTAATTAGCTATGCAGATCACCGCTCGCTCAGTTGCGCTCCCTGCGGTCCTTCCCTGTATTAAAATAATCAAAAATGAACATGTGTTTAGCGTACGTAGCAACTTTGATTAGAAATCTCACGAGGAAAATCTAACCAGTGGATCTGCTAAACCGTAAAAAATTGAACGAGATAATTCTTAAACCATACATGGAATGCTCCCACCCCGTATGTTCTGTATAGTAACATTTCGTTAATTAATTTGTCATTAGTTGGTCTGTTTCTTTGTTGACCTCGCTTACGACATATGTTGGCATACATTATGAATGATACACGCGCACGCGCGCGCACACACACACACACACACACACACACACACACACACACACACACACACACACACACACACACGTATGCAACAAACGGATTCTTCACCTTGCGCCCTGAACACTGAGGCCAGAAAACCCGTCCCTCTCGCCTTACATCATTACTATAGCAGGCAGCGTCAATTTCATGAACATTTCTCGAACTTGTATACGCATAACAACGGAGTTACGGGGTCGTTAGCGAGAGATGAGTACTCTAGTGGCTGAACCATTAGGACACAGTGAATACGCATGCTTATATCATCATCATCGTCATCATCATCATCATCATCGTCGTCGTCGTCGTCATGCCATAGCATTCGCTACAGAGACCACAATCCGATACCGTGGGACGATGTACAACGCGCGTGTGCTACGAGCGGGATGCGTAATTGTTTTTCGCTCGATTCCGCCTCAAAAACCCGCAAAAATTAAAAAGTTACACCCGCGCATACGGTGTACGTATATATCATTCTCTCGAGTAACATCCACAGGATTTTTTTTGGGTTAGTGGGTGGGTGGTTGGTGGGGGCGATAATTTTCTTCAAAAACCCGCAAAAATTCAAAAGTTACCCCCTCGCATACGGTGTACGTATATATCATTCTCTCGAGCAACATCGACGGTTTTTTTGGGGGGTTAGTGGGTGGGTGGGTGGTGGGGCGGCTATTTTTCTTCAAACGCTCGGCGGCAAATAAAGTCGGCATGAACATCGACGATTGACGTAACTTAATCCGTCTGCATCGAAAGCTATATGCAAATTCGGTCGCAGGTATCGATTATTCGTCGAGCGTGACAGAGTTGGTCGGTATAGATGAGTCGATATCAAACCGACGCGCGGCTACCGATGTCAAGCGCAGACGATTAATTGAAAAGAACACGAATCAAGCGCGCAGGGTGCCTACATGTGGGTAGCAATGTAATCCAGAAGAAAAAATATACTTACCAAGTGTGTGCCGCATTGTGCGTGTGTGTGTGCGCGCGTGCGTGTGTGTGCGCGCGTAGACGTGCACGTGGTGTGTACGCGTGCACGTGCGCGTGTCCGTACGTGTGCGCGCGCACGTGTGTTTATGTGCGTGTATGGTTGATTGTACGCGCTATTGAGATACGTTTGCTCCTGAGAGAAAGGTTCGAACATTTCGTTTGTTCTCGTTAATTACTCGCTTATGTTTCAAAAGGACATTGAGATGTTTTATGCGATTTAAGTCGCGATCTGAAAGACTGCGCACGCGAATTTATTAACACTATAAATTATTCAATTCTGTTCTTAGATTTGGGTTGAAATTAATTCGCGCGTTATGCACTCTATCTCTCTCTCTCTCTCGCTCTGCGATAAGTTGTTGTCCAGAGATTGAACACGATATTAATAAGCCGGCCATCTTTAATTAATGAATTAATTAAAAGATAACCGCGTTTTGTTCACGGCGCGACGAAAAAAATGAGGTCGTTATGTTACGAAGGCTGATGACGGCCCACGCGGATGACACAGCCACGTAACGCATCGCGTCACGCACTCAGCATCGGTGACACACGCACGCACAAACGCACGCGCACGTACGCACGCACGCACAAACGCACGCGCACGCGCACGCCCCCCCCCCACACACATATGTAATATTATATATATATATATATATATATATATATATACAGTATAAATTACCTTGGCATGAAATATATTTGGAATTGTGCATTTACTTGCAGTCACCAAGTAATACGCAACGTGCATATGCGAGAACGTGTAACGCAAGGCTGGTTAAATATGTAACGAGCCTCATACATAACGATGCCATGCCATCGATATACTGAGAAGAGCAGTCATAAGGATATCGCTTGGCTTTTGATCGTTTTACATAAAGGAACTGTTCGCCTGGAGTGTTTCTTGATAACAGCAATACCGATGTTTACTTACATGATCTGCATTTTCGTGATAAATACTCATATCATACATTCTTTAAATCGGCCAATCGAACAAAACCAATACAAAGTAATGATACATAGATTTTTGTATCAAGAATTTAGTCAGAACTACTTTGATGAATAACTGCGATGTATGATGTATATTAGTTTACTTTCGATTTAATTTGCTTAACTAACAATATTTTCTTACATTCTAAAAAAATCAGGCATATCATTGTTGTTTATTGAAGTCATAATAATGATAGAGATAACTTTTTTTCTATTATCATTTGAAACTACATTTCTTGCTGGCGTATGATTATGAATGCGCGTGTTAATCGTTGTTGCTGGCCATCGCCAGACAAACTTCAACAACTTCAATATTCTCTTTGTTCTCGCCTTCTCATTTCACTCTCTGACTCATATATATTATTATAAAACGTACGCTCGTGTTCTGAGAGATTATTGTTTTCACTCGAAGAATCGACTCGACCTGCAGTGTCATGTATGATTCCAACCGATCTGCTTATGGTAACAATATTCTCTCTATAACCATCGCGCAGTTTGAACGTTATATATTATCTATGGGCGTTAAAGATTCGTAACAACTCTCAGAAAGCCACAGAAAATGGTTATATGCATCCAATTACACGCTCGTCATTCGTCATTCGACAATGGTACTATTACACGGTGTATAACACGTACATGTAGGTATGCCGCCTCTTCTGTTCGTGATTATATGCTTGTGCTCGGTTTCCATAGATGCGTGTAAATCGCTGTCTACTGATGGGTATTTTCGTTGCTATGGCAACAGGTATAGAGAGCATGGTGCGCAGGTATATGTGGCGCGTGCGGTTTGCATCGCTCGTGCTCCTGCGACAATTTTAACGTCGAGACACTGCTTGTTTTCCTCCACTGTGAACCTATCGTTGCTCAAACACGCTCGTTCAAGCATCCCCAGCGGCTCCAACTACAGCTACAGGCTTTTGTGCAGGTGTTTGTAGGAGGTGTACAGCGACAGGGCTAGACGCTCTAGCTACATAAGGTGAGCTCTACTATACCTAGCTTTGTGTTATAAATTATGTAAATATATCCTCACACATTGAAAGATTAAGTTATCTTCTACCGTGTGCTAGTCCAGCGTCGTTATAGAGCTAAGCTTATGCGTCAATTCTCCGCCTCTTTCCCACCTGCCCGCTTCTCATCATATACAATACAACACAGCACTCTTTCTCTGCGTCTAAATCTTCTCTCTCAGCG